TTTAAAAAAAAAAAAAACAAAACCAAAAAGCACGACACGCTGATTTTGGCCTCGCGGAAGGCTGCAGTGCCCCAGTGCCATTGGTCACGCGCCTGTCCGATTTTCCGCAGGCAAGTTAGGCATGGCGACTCCCAGCTGCGTGAGCGACATCACGGAGATGGAGTGCACGCGCTCTGAGATCGACGAGCTCATCAAGGAGGTGAGTGGCCGGCCCGCGGCACTGCCGGGGCCCTGGGAGGAGCCGCGTGGGTCCCCGCGAGGAGCGGCACCCCTCTTGCCCTGGCCAGGCCTGCAGAGCCCTGGGCTCTCTCGGGCAGCGGCACCTGCTCCCCCGAGACGGAAGGCGAGGCCAGCCTCTGCCGTCTGGCCGCCCCGTCGCCTCGTTCCCCGCCTCCATCCCGAGCGCCGGGGCTGGGCTGCCGGCTCCGAGCCGGTGCCGTTTCTTCCCGCCCTAAACTTGCCATATTTTAAACATTTCGATTGGCAGTCTTAGAAAAAGTGCACCCTGCTTTCTCTTGGCTTCTTAGACAGGCTACGATGAAAGAAAGACTTCCCTTGCAGCTTGGGGTCGTCGTGACCACATGGATGCTCGAGGGGGGCGCGGGCTCCCCGTTTCATAATCTGCAGCTTTAGGTCTTGATGGATCGGAAAGGCGGGCCTTCGAGCTTGTTAGGCCTGTATGTCAACTCCGAGTTAATAGGCTACGAGCAAAGGCGTAATGGGGTCTCCGGAGGCAAAACACATGGTTTTCGGATTCCAGCGTTTGCTCTGCAAATACCCTTTTCCTGTGGCCATCTGCTTCTTAACTCCGTTTTTACGGCCAGTACAGGGCAGATGTCGCCTCGCTGAAATAATCCCGCGGCGTCCTCGTACACGGCGGTGTGGGTGCTGTGGACGTTCTCCTTAATACCGTCGTGGCAGCACCAGAACTTTTAAGAGTAGCTTGGCTGTCAGGAGGTGCAGATAACAAAACGCCGCCTCCTCTCGGCTGCTGAGTTTTCTGCCGATGGCAGCTGTTAAGTTTCTGCGTGGTCTCTGGCAGCAGGCCAAGTGGACTCCGGGCTTCGTGTCTCTCCAGCAACGTCCCGTTTTCTGCACGAGGCTTTTCTGCTGACTCAGCTGAGAGAGGTTGGGTTGGCGCAGCAGGATCCCAAGGAAAGCAGATTTCAAAATGCTTCCTACCCAGATTTATCCGCATCCGTTGAGGAGTGGGTCAGAGGTCGGAAGCGTGGGTGTGGAACGGCGCGCGGGGCCTGCCCGGTCGTGGCCGAGTTTGTCCGGCGTCGCGGTGCCTCGGCGTCCCAGCGCTTGTCTGCTTCCCCGGGGCATCTGGGCAGCTGGGCAACCCATGGCCATTTGGTTTTGCAACTGGCGCCCGTAAGCTTTTTAGGGGTCCCGCAGGGGCCGGTAAGTCGGGCGTGTGGTTTGAGCCGCTCAGCCTGGTGGATTTGTCTTAGGCCTTTCAAGAGGCGAAGTAAAACTTTCCCTTTGTCTTGGGATAAAAGGTGACAGTGTGGCTTTGGTTAAGTCTAAACCGTTTGCCTTCACGAACACCGGAGCCCCACTTTGGAAGCCCGCCGACCACAATGCTGTTCTCTCTCACCCTGTTCCTCCAGCCTTCCGTGGACGATTACATGGGGGTAGTCAAAAGGAGTCCTTCTCCGCCGGAGGCCTGCAGGGGCCAGCTGCTCTCAGACTGGTGGATCCAGCAGCCCAGCGCAGGTGAGGGGGGGACCCCCAGTGCGGCCGGCGTGCGGGGCTCGTTCGAGTGGTCTGGGCACTGACTCCTTTCAGCCTTCAGGCAGCTGGGGGCAGGCGGGGCGGTGGTTCTACCGTGAGCCCTATTTTATCGAAGGTAACTGAGTCCACAGTGATGCCCGTGGCCCCTTCGCCACTGCCTCTCGGGGGGCACGTGGGCCCTCCCTGTAGGAGGGGTTTGCTTGTCTCCTGCGCTCCTGGAGGGGTCGGAGGGGAGGGAGGGGGTGTGCAAACGTCTCCAAGGCCAGAGGGGAGATGGGGGTCTCGGCCACACTCGTGCTCGCCACGGATGTCTGCCAGCCACTCCCTTGGGACATTAGGGACCCCTCAGAGCCAAGGGGAGCACAGGGCGTCAGGAGAGGAGGAGGGCGAGGGTTGCCCGCGTGGCGCCCTGGATTTGAAGCCCCCTGGCAGGGCGGGGGCCTGCAGATCTCATTCACGCCTCAGCTTACTCATCTGTGAAATGGAGACACCAGGACCTGTCCCATAGGGTCATGATACCCCTATTATCATTGGGATTAATAAATAATCACTTATTTATTAAATTACTTAATTAGCTTCTGATACCACTTCCCCCCCCAGCCCACTTCCTTCTCGAACGACCCTCCACGAGCACAGATTTCTTTGCTTCCTCCCTCCGCCTCTTTCCCCGACTGTTCCTTGTGGGAGACTGGGAGGTGACTCTGGCCCAACTGACTTCACAGGTCTCCGGGCTGCGGGTGGCACTTTTGCCTCAGGGGCCCTGGGAGAGCCCCCTCTCCCTGCACGGTGGCTATCCCTCCCGGAAAGCGAGCCGAGGCCTCAGTTTCCCTCCGGAGACCAGGCCTGGAGGGTGGGCGCGCCGTCCAGGGACGTTTCGGGAGCAGGCCCTTGGGTGGGAGGAAGGCATCACCCCGGCACTTGGTCAAAAACCCCTCAGCACAGAGGACGTTTCCTCCCCCTCTGTGCCGGTCGAGTCGAGGCCTGGCTTTCCGTGTTTTTGAAACGCGGGTCACGGCGCTGGGAGGGAAAAGCACTGAATTGAGCGGAAGCCTGTGGCAGGGCCTCCGGGCCTTGGGAGCACACCCCGTGTGGCTTTGAAAGGAACTTTTGGGGGGGTGCGTTGGGGTCGGTACCTCACGCTCAACTGGGCCTTCTCTTTCTCCCACAGGCTTGCCGCTCGTGACGGGCTACACTGCCTATGATCCGCACCACTCAGGTACGCGGGTGCTCGGGGCTGGGCTGGCGCGGTGGGACGCGGGCGCTCCTGGAAGGCAGAGCCCAGAGGGCCGAGTGGGCTCGCAGGGGCCCGTGGATGAGCCGATCGCACGTCAGAAGGCGGGACCCCAGTTCATCCTTGTCGCTGTTTGCTTTTTGAGCACGTCAGGGGCCGGCCGTTTTGAGGCTCTTCTCAGAACGGGCCGAAAGATGGGTCCCGAGAGCTCTTTGCAGCGTGACTCTGCAGGAGAGAGAGCAGGGGGACAGACGGACTCAAGGCCCAGCCCTGCCTCTCTTGTGTGACGCCAGGCAGAACCTCGCCGGACCCTTGTGAGGATTAGACGTAGCGTTAGTTTTCTGGTAGGAACGTCACTTGTCAGCGAGCGTCCCCAGTGCCTGTTTCCTCTACTGTCTTCCACACTCAAGTTCGTGATAACGATGGTCCTAATTAATGGCGACGACGGGGCTGGGGCTGGGGCTGGTGGCGACGACGGTGGTGATGGGGTTGATGGTGGCGGCCGATGCTGAATACTGGCGAGGCGCCAGGGTCAGGCCTCGTCCCGTCACGTCTCCCGCCACATCGTTCCCGCCGCATAGGCTCAGAGGCTCTGGGTCACACAGCATGTGGGCCGCAGAGCCAGGACATGGCCTCTGGCCGTCCTCTCCAGGCTCCCGCCCCTCGTGGGCAGAGGTGGCCTCTGTGCCACGTTTTTGTCTGTTGACGCTGGGGACTCAGACCTCCTGCCGTGGCCCCTGGAGTTTGCATTCTGGCTCACTGATGGCCTCACTGACGGAGCAGAGAAAGCCCGTGTCCTTCCTGATAGTTCTGTGAGAGGTGAACAGCCTGACCCATCAGGATGGACCCCAGAGGCCCCCCGGTGCGGAGGAGGAAGCGGGGCTCAGAGAGGTGTCTGGACCACGGGCCTCGTGGGACGAGTGTTCGGGGTGTGGCGGAGGCAGGTTCTCACCCAGGCCTGCAAAGTGCGGACAACCCGCGTTCCTGTTCGTCGCACTCCTGTCACCGCTCCGGGACGCCCTGGCTCGCGGGGCCAGGCCTCTGACCTGGTCAGCTCTGTGGCCCGGGGAGTCTGCTGACCAGTGCTCTCTGGGGGCGGGAGAGGAGCGGGGGCAGGGCCGAGGCATCCGGGTGAGGAGGAAGTGTGCCGAGTGGCTCTGGACTCGTCCCAGCGCACAGCGGGCGGAGCGACCCACAGCAGTGCTGCGTGCACAGAAAATCCTAAAACCTTCTAGGTGTTGCAGACTTTGGTCCCTGGCCCCGCCCTGTGGAAACAAGGTGATGGCCCCTGGTTCTCAGGGCCGCGGGGACGAGGTAGTGAGTGAGCGGGGCCGCAGAAGGGTGGGCAGGGAGCGCTGGAGGCCACGGCGGAGTGCAGGGCCTGCCCCTCGGCTGCTCAGCGCTAGACAGTGCCCTGCGGGCCTCAGACCCGCCAGGCTTGGTGTCCCCGCTTTTCTGGAGGGATCAGAAGTCCAGACCTTTGTGTGAAACCTCCCCGTGTGGAGTGTTGGCAACAGAGCTGTGTGGATGCCCCCCCCCCACCGGGCTGGATCCGGACACGCCCGTGGCTGCCGGGGGCGGGGGGGGGGGGGGGGGGGGGGGGTGGTGGGTGTGCTTGGTGGTGTTTGCAGTGGTGGGGCAGGGGGAAGGCCGTGTCTGGAAACGGAGGGGGCGGGCTCGGCGCTGCAGGACGCGGGTGCAGGGCCGGCCTGCCGGGGAGCCCCTCTCCCCGCTTCGTGGTTGTGCCATCAGAGCAAATGCCTTCACCTGCCGACACCCGACTCCTTACCTGGAAAAGGCGTCGAGTGATCAGCAGCCTCCAGCTCGCATCGTGAGCGTTAAACGTGCCCCTCGGTTCAGCGCACTGAGAACAGCGCCTGGCGTGTGCTGCCTCGACCAGGAATTAGGGCTATGACTCCGGGAGTCTCATCTACGCGGCTAGCTTCCGGTCCTGTTACCCCGATTTCTTCAGGAGCCGCCCACGAGCACCGCACGACACACGAGCTCCTGCTCGTCCCCAGCCGCCTGGGGAGCTGGGTGCCACCACGATCTCTGCTTTGCTGATGGGGAAACTGAGGCACAGAGTCACAGCTGGGCTCACACGTCGTCGGGGAGTCTGTGCTCCTGGCATCGTTGCTCTGCTGCCGTTGTGGGGCGGCTGTCCCCCGGTGGCCAGGTGGCCGTGTGGGGGCAGGGCAGGTCAAGGTGGGCTGGCCAGAGCCACATGGTGGCTTTGGTGGCGGCTTCTCCGTGGGTCTCTGCTGGCCGCTCACTGCGGGTGCAGCGGTCGTCGCTGAGGCCTTCCCGGCTCGAACCGGCCCCAAGCTAAGCTGCCCTGTGGCACTGGGGTCCCTAGGAGGCCTCGTCTGGGCCTCTCCAGAGCACCCATCTGTGGCTCCCTTGGGCCGCGAGGCGCTGGTGTGAGATAAAGCGACGGCAGTGGCGGGGCGAGGGTGCAGAGTGGTGACAAGAGTCGTCTGTAGTGTTTCATCCGTCTGTGACAAAGTTCAGAAATGTTCTGGAGCGAAGGAAGTGGAGCGTGCCATCGGGGGATGCAGATGTACCAGAGCTGGCACAGTGCGCAGGATGGGGAACTGGACGGGACGAGACATGTCACTCACCAGCTGGGTGACCTCAGCTGGGCCTCAGTTTTCCCACATGTCATATAAATGAATTGGACCAGAATACCTGAAGCTCCCAACCCAGCGTGGTTCTAGAATGCCGTTTAACCCCCATGTGGGGGAAGATGGAGCCTGTGCCCACAGCAGCGGGGGGTCTTATTATTTGACTGAGCAAATGATTCTTAATCAGAGCCCAGTTGGAGGGGGGGGCAAGAAATTATAAGTGCACAGCAGTATTAACCTGGGTGAGGCAGGTGGCCACCCACAGGGCTGCCCCTGACTGTTGTGTGGGTGGTGCACTGCACAACTCGAGGGGTTGCCATGGGGGTGGGCAGCTCACAGTTTGTGTGGCTCTAGAAGGCAGCCCTGGACTGCTCTGGGACCCTTAGGAGGTGCCCCAAACTCACCAAGTTTGGTGATAGTGCCTGTAATTCTTGTAGTTTAAAGCTATCAAAATGCAGATTTTTCTGGGACTGTCGCAGAAGTTAGCTGTTGTCTTCATTCCTGCCTTAGCTTAAAGGTTCCCAAATTTCAGTTACTGGAGCCCCACTTTCACGATGGTTTTTCATATCTGGGTACCACCTGGTAACGTGCTCTTTTTCTCTAAATGTCATTACAAAAAAAGTTTTTATTTATTTTAAGAGAGAGAGAGAGAGAATGCGTGTGTGTGTGCATGGGGGAGGGACACAGAGAGTGGGAGGCACAGAATCCGAAGCCGGCTCCAGGCTCTGAGCTGTCAGCACAGGGCCCCACTTGAGGCTTGAACTCAGAAATTGCAAGATCAGGACCTAAGCCAGTTGGTCACTTAACCGACTGAGCCACCCGGCGCCCCGAAAATTGAATAATCCTTTCATTTACTTAACTCTGGGTCACCGCCCTGCCTCCTTCCCCGACCTTCTTAAGTGTAGCGCGTCTGGGGAAACGTTGACTTAATTTGAATGATTTTCAGACTCTTCCAAGAACAGGCTTAGATGAAGGGTTTGGAGGGATTCGTGATTTGAAATCCAAGGAACACCAAGAGGGCTGTGAATGTGTCAAGGAAAAGAGGACGTGTCTGTTCTCCCTGACCTGAAGTTCAAATCTCACACTTCTGTCCGTTGTGAATCCGGTCACGGGCCCCGTTGTTCCATAGCACGAGCGACGGTGTATCTGTCGGGTAACGGATAACACGGCGTGTCGCTTACGGGTATTATATGACGTCGTATGACGGTCACAGAGTGCCATGTGACGGGGCAGTTCTACTGACTTCTAAACCGTACCGGTTCCTGCGACCTTCCCCGGGAGAACAGAGAGCACGAGAACAGTTCTTTTGTATTTCGAGTCACTGGCTTCCTGAGTGATTCTGCGTATGTCCTCGTGCTCACAAAGACACCGGTTCCGGAAGGGGTGCGTGAACTTCCCGCAATGCCGAGGGGTCCCAGGCACACGAGGAGCCAACCGGCCTGCTTGGGAGGAAGGAGAGCGCTGGGCACCGGCCCGGAAGGGACCGGGGACCCCCCCCC